GCATAATGTTTTCAAGGTACATCCATGTACATCCATCCATGTAACACATGTCAGTACTTCATTCCATTTTACTGCTGAGTAATATTCTATTGAATGGCAGTGCCACATTTTATTTATCCACTCATCAGTTGATGGGTTTTTTTTTCTACTTTTCGACTGTATGAATAATGCTGCTGTGAATATCTGCCATGAATATCTGTGGGCATATGTTTTCATTTCTTTTTTTTTTTTTTAAGTTTATTTATTTATTTTGAGAGGGAGAGAGAGCATTCCAAGCAGGGTCTGCACTGTCCGCACAGAGCCTAACGCGGGGCTCAAACTCACGAACCGTGAGATCATGACCTGAGCCAAAACCAAGAGCCAGACACTTAACCAACTGAGACACCCAGGCACCACCATATGTTTTCATTTCTTGAGGGAATATGCTTAGGAGCAGAACTGCTGGGTCATACACTAACTCCATATTTAACTGCTTGAGAAACTGCCAGACTGTTCGAAAATAGTTGTAGAAGCTAACATCCCCACGAGTAGAGTGTATGAGGGTTCCAGCTTCTCCACATTCTCATTAATGCTTAGTATCAACCATCTTTTTGATTGTAGCCATCCTAATGGGTATGAAGTCATTTCTCATTGTGCTTTTGATCTGCATTTCCCTAAAGGCCAGTGGTGTGGAGCATCTTTTCATGTGCTTATTGGAATGTCTGTCCAATTTTTTGTCTGTTTATTAATTGGATTATTTGTCTTAAGCATTTCATATATGTTTAATCTGGGTCCAAATTGCTAGTTAAATATATGACTTCTAGATATTTTCTCCCATCTTCCATACTTGAAAATATATTTGTCCGATTTCCATTTTGCGGGTTGTCATTTCAGCTTCCTGATGGCATGATTTGCAGCACAGTTTTTTATTTCAGTATCGTCCACTTTTTTCTTTTGTTGTTTATTTTTGATGTCATATTTTAGAAACCTCGTAATCTAGGGTCATCAAGATTTACTTCTGTATTTTCTTCTAAAAGTTGTACAATTTTAGCTCCTCCATTTAGGTCTATGACCATTTTGAGTTAATTTTTGTGTGTGGTGTAGTAATTATCATTTATGCATACTTCCCCCACCAAACTGTTGTCATCTTTTAATTTTTTTTTAATGTTTATTATTTTTGAGAGAGAGAGAGAGACAGAGAGCAAGCAGGGAAGGGGCAGAGAGAGAGGGAGACACAGAATCAGAAGCAGGCTCCAGGCTCTGTGCTGTCCGCACAGAGCCCGATGCAGGGCTCGAACTCACAGACTGCGAGATCATGATCTGAGCTGTAGTCGGCCGCCCAACCAACTGAGCCACCCAGGCACCCTTAAACTGTTGTCATCTTTGAATCTCAGTGTACAGAATAGTTCTGCTGATGTTATCAAACAATGTGCGTTTGAGCACCAAAGAACTGGGTTAACTGGGTTTAGTGAATTGCGGCTGCATATTCTGTGTCCGCCTACATCAGAGAACATCAGGCCTGCACTTCTGTGAAGATTGTTGCTTGAATATTTGCTAATATGTGGTTGAGGATATTATCCACTGTTTCATTTGACAAAATGTATTGGATGCTCCCTTCAGTATAAGCCAGGCTCTGTGCTGGTCTTTTGGGACTTTTCTGCAGCGTCCTCTTTGTGAGGCCCTAAGAAGTTGTTTCGCTCTGCTTTCACTACCTGGGCTTCTTTGTGCAGCAAACTTGTTTTTATTTTGTGGGTATAGCTCACTCTGTTTCCTCGGATTTTGTCTACCAGAAAAGTTTTAATGCTCTTTCTAAAGAATGGCTCATGCCTCATGCCATTTACTTTTATATTACTCTCACTTCTGGTTCTGTATTACCATTTTTATCTTTTTATTTTGTTTTCTTTACCTACTTAGCATTCTTTTTATTTTGTCTTTTTTATTATTTATTTTGAGAGAGCATGCGGGGGAGGGGCAGAGAAGGAAACAGAATCCCATGCAGGTTCCATGTTGCCAGCACAGAGCCCGACTCAGGGCTCAGTCCCACAAACCATTGGACGCTTAACCAACTGAGCCACCCAGGCACCCCTTCCGCCTACCATTTTCTTATCCATAAAAAAGTCAGCCTTGCCCACTCGGCTACCCACAGGCTGTTAGGAAAGATGAAGTGTGATAATAGATGTGAAGCATTTGTAAAACTAAAGCCTGGGAGCACCTGGGTGGCTCAGTCAGTTAAGCATCCGACTTCGTCTCAAGTCACGATCTCATATTTTGTGAGTTTGAGCCCCGTGTCAGGCTCTGTGCTGATGGTTCGGAGACTGGAGCCTGCTTTAGATTCTCTGTCTCCCTCTCTCTGTCCCTCCCCTGCTCATGCTTGCTCTCTCTCTCTCTCTCTCTCTCTCAAAAATAAATAAACATAAAAAAAAAAACCCAAACATTAAGAAGCAAGGAGAAACCATTGAACTTGCCAGATAAAGCATGTGTGTAGACCGCCTCTAGGTTAGAGTCATTTAGGCTAGAGAGTGAAATGTGAACACTTCTAGGCAAGCTGAAGGGGTTCTTCAGAATCCCCGAGTGCGGTGAGGGGCTCTGAGTGCTGAGAGACCTGAAGGAAAGGAAAGGGTGTTTGAAGTATGCACTTGGGAGGCTGACATACCCTCTGTCAGGGGCGCTTAAATCAGGGGTCCAGTGAAACTTGAGGGTGTTGCAGAAGGGTCCTTGGAGGGTGGAACGAATGTCGGAAGGCGGAGGCTACTACAGACAGGACTCTTTCGAGCAGGTTTCAGGGGAGATTCTGCACTTTCCCCTTTGCCTTCCCTGCACCATGTCTCTGCTCCCAGCACCCAGGATAAGACTGTGTCTTCTATAAATAGACTCTCATGGTCTGAGGACTTGCCCTCTGAATCCTGTAGACCTCCTTGCATCCAGTTCACAGTGTAACCAGGTGCATCCTGGAAGGAACTGGTAGACATTTAACTGACATTTCTAACATGGCTTTTCATGGGGAAATGCATTCCAGGTTACAACCAACCAACTGGTCAGTGGACTTGGAATAGGGTGGGACTTGCCCATATTGGAAAAGGCTGTTTTGGGGAACAAAGCATACCTGACTTGATTGTGTGCTGTTCTTGTGCTAGAATAGCCTGTTAGAATAGAGGTGTCTGTTGTATAGACAAATAAGACTCAGAAGAATGTTGTTTCTTTCTAAATGGTTATGTTGAAAAGCTGTGTGAATTCAGTATTTTTATTCCTTTGATTTCTAGTCTTTGTCAAACGCTTAGAAATTTCTGCTCTGTCCCATCAAACTGACTGCAGGGCCTGGGGTGCCTGGGTGGCTCAGTCGGTTAAGTTTCCAGCTCAGGGTCCTGAGATCAAGCCCCCTGTCAGACTCCACACTGAGCATGGAGCCTGCTTAAGATTCTCTCTCTCCCCCACTCTATCCCTTTCCCCTGCTCACTCGCACTCCCTCTTTCTCTCTCACTCAAAAGTAAAAAGATTTTTAAAAATGACTGCAGGGTCAAAATTATGGGGTTCTCACATATTTATTCACAGATTTATTTAAACATCCATATCTAGATTAATGTGTCTGTTTTCATGCTTCCTAGCCTAGTACATCTTCTGTGCTCTTTTTTGTTAATGGGATTTTTAACTGTTCATCAAAGGTAGAAACCTATCTTTAACTCTGTCAACTTCTTTTTTTTTTCAATTTTTTTAAATGTTTATTTTTGAGAGAGAGACAGAGCATGAGTGAGGGAGGGGCAGAGAGAGAGGAAGACACAGAATCTGAATCAGGCTCCAGGCTCTGAGCTGTCAGCACAGAGCCCAACGTGGGGCTCGAACTCACAAACTGTGAGATTGTGACCTGAGCCGAAGTTGGCCACTTAACCAACTGAGCCACCCAGGTGCCCGTAACTCTTCTTTAGGTCACAACTTCTGCTTTAGGTCTCATATCCCACTTAGACATATGGTCTTATCTGTCCTCTTCTTTTAAAATTTCATTTATTTCTTTTTATCATCCCTACCATAATCCTTATTGTCTCTCACGGACTATTACAGTGAAATTCTTAAGAAATTTTACCTTCGTCTAACGTAGTTTTTAACATTAAGGGTTATAATTCATAATGGGCTATGAAATCAGTTTAATGGTGGTGACTGGAATTGTTTTCAATAATTGAATAGATTAAAAATATCAGAAAGCATCTCCGAAAGGGCAGTTCTCTTTCAGTTTGCATGTGTGTGCATATATACGTACGGTATGGATTGTTATTAAAATGTATCTGTTGTTTGGGGTCACAGTCAAGAAAATATGAAGGCCACTGATTTGGTCTACCACTTTCACGTGGCCTCTTACCTATTCTTCTTTGGGTTTTCTTTTTTTTTTTCCCTCTTACCCATTCTTAATCCATCTCTGCGTCTTTTGCTTATTTTTCTAAAACCAGAATCTAATCATCTCACTACCTTGCTTAAGAGTCTTCATTGGCTCCGTGTTATCTACCGGGTAAAGTCCACCCTCCTTAGCATTACTCACAAGCCCCTTTATAATTTGAACCCAAGTCATCTCGGGTATCATTCTCCCTGCCCTGCCTTCCATATGTCCACCTCATACTCTAGCCACGTAGTGCCTCTTGCTTTCATTTGTACGTGTCTTACTCTTTTATCCTTCTGCCTCACTATTCCTACTGTTTGGATCTATTCTCCACATGGCATCTCATCTTTAAAGACAGAAATCAGAAATCACTGTTTTTAAGAAGCCCTTCCCAAATACCAGGTAGTCTATCATGCCTCTGTGCCTTTTTGTTTGACAGCCTCCCCCCAGCCTGATTCGGTGAGGACAAGTGAGGCCCAAGGCTGTGTGTCATATGATTCTGTATCCCAGGCTCAGCCCAGGTCCTAAGTGTGCTCTGCTAAACTGGAGTTATTGATTGAACTAATGCACCACCACAATTCTGGTCTTTGGGGCTTTTTTTTTTTTTTTTTAAGTAAATCTTCCTATTTATTTAAGTGCTTTCTAAAAATGTTTTTAGATATCAAAGACAGAATTAGATTGGTTCCTTGAAGATTTGGAAAAGGAAATTAAAAAATGGCAACAAGAGAAAAAAGAAATCCAAGAAAATCTAAAAGCACTAAAGAAGAAAATGAAAAAGGTTCTAAATGCCAACGAAACGTAAGTTAACAATTGAAAGGCAATGATTTTTTATTATTGGGGCTTTTTTGTTGTTATTTTAACATTTTTGATATTCAGTTTCAGACTATATCAGGTAGTGTACAAATTTAAATACTGTTTTCACCTCATTTTAGAGAACGTTCTGTGGGGACTTACCTGAAATTTTTCGTAAAACTACTGTGTTTGCCAATCAAGTGGGACTATGAATGAGCAAAGAGCTGACTTCCTTCTAGTCGGGACACCACCCCTTACTGTGAACATTACCTTTGCCCCATTTTTTCCTTGTCTATAAAGTGAGGGGCTTAGTCTAGATCTAAGGTTCTTTCCTGCACTAAGATTCTGTGATGATTATTTATAATTGCTTTCATCTTGAGCCTTTAAATTACTAAAATTTGGTCTTGTGGTATGAAGGATTTGGTAATGCATACAGGTAATACAGTTGTCAGATGGGCCAAGTTTAAGATTCTCTGTGATCCATTCCTAACCCCTCTCTTCCCTAGTTGGTGACGTATCATATGATTCCTCAGCTTAATTGTTACCTACCACTGTGTAACAAAAACACTCAAACTTGGTGGCTTACATTAACAGCCATTTTATGTGATCATGATCTTGGAACCTGGTCTGAGTTCCGCTGGGCTGTTGTGATGGTCTTCACGTGGCAGGGAATTGGCTGGGGCTAGGCTCAGCTGGGATGCTGGGATGTCCTGGCTTTTTCTCTCCGTGTAGTTTCACGGCTGCTCCCTTTCCATGTAGCCTCTTCATGTGACTTTTATCGGTATGGTCTACCCAGGTCATCTCCAACACAGTAGCCAGGCTTCATATGTGGTGGCAAAGGGCTCCCAAGGGTACGGGAGCAGAAGCTGCCATGCCTCTTGAAGGTTCAGGCTCAGAACCATCAGAGCATTACTTCCACCACATTCTGTTGTGAAAAGCAAGCGGCAGGCCTACTGGAGATTTAAGGGCAGGAAGAAGGGGAGGCATGGTTCACGGGGGCCACACTACCATTCTCACCTTTCAGGACATTCGTGGTTTTTCCATTTGCCATGCCATAGGATCGACGACTTCATCATGAGTCTTGCTGGCATTAAATTTGGACAGTTTTTAGGTAATCCTTCCAAGAATGATGAACCATAAAACACCGCCTGTGTCTTGTCATTTTGAGTAGGCTCAGAGTAGTTCTATCAGAACACATGTGTGGAAATAACATCTGCAAAGCTCTGTACAGTACCCCCACCCCCACCTATAGGTTCATTTTTCACGGTTTCAGTTACCTGTGATCAGTGGCAGTCAAGCTCAGATGATTCCCCTTCTGACATATTGTTGGAGGGTCAGTAGTCGCCTAGTGCTGTGTCACCTGCCTGCGTCACTCGCCTCACCTCATCATATCACACAGGCATCTTGTCATTTCACATCATCAAGGAAGGCTGGGGACAGTGTAGTAAGATAAGATACATTGAGAGAGAGACCACACTCATACGTAACATTCATTACAGTATAGTTGTTTTTATTTATTATTAGTTATTGCTGTTAATCTCTTACTGTGCCTAATTTATAACTTGAACTTTATCATAGGTATGTATATATAGGAAAAAACCTGGGTTTGTAACAGTCCATGGTTTCAGGCATCCAGTGGGAGTCTTGGCACATACCCCTCTCAATATTTGAGCATGTCAGTAGTGAAGTTATTCAAAAATTCAGGAATATTTGTATTTAACATAGATTTTTGTATGCTCAATTCAGATTTACTGTTAAACTAGACAAAATAAATGAGGCTGATAATGATAAGAAATTTTTTTGTGTGTGCTAGCATAAAAATCCATTTCTGTTGAGGAATAAAGTTTTTATTATTTTTTTTTTACTTTATTAATACATGTTTTCCTTTTTTCTGTCCCAGTTTAAAGATAAGCTACAGGCTTCTTTATGTGCTTGGCTTTTTGCACTTTGTAAATGATATAAATCTAAATTTTATATCTGGATTTTAAAGTAAAGCCTCTTTTTATATTATAAGTTTTATGTAGTCTTAAGTTTTGAAGCAAAACTCTGAGCAGGAGAATAATTGTATAATTAAGCAGTTGACCCTAGAACAATGTGGGGGTTTAGGGGTGCTGACCCCCAACATGTAACTTTTGACTCCTCCAAAACTTAACTACTAATAGCCTACTGTTAACTGGAAGCCTCACTGATAACACAATTAACACATATTTTGTATATTTATTATATGCCATAATTCTTGGTAAACTAGAGAAAACAAATTTACTAAGAAAGTCATAAGGAAGGGGCACCTAGGTGGTTCAGTCGGTTAAGCATCAGAGTCTTGATTTTGGCTCAGGTCATGATCTCACAGTTTTTGAGTTTGGGCCCCACATCGGGCTCTGAGCTGACAGCTCAGAACCTGCTTGGGATTCTCTTGCTCTCTGCCCCTCCCCCGCTTGCACTCTCTGTCTCTCGAAAATAAATAAACTTTAAGTAAAAAGAAAGAAGGAAGAGAAAGTACATTTTTAGTATTATACTGTATCGAAAAAAAAAATCTGTATATATGCACTACACAGTTCAGACTTGTGTTGTTCAAGGGCCAACTGTACTTCCTGTTTTGCAGGAAGTTTTAAAATTTAAAAAGAAAATGGTTTTGTAATCAAAATACCTTGGGTTTACATTCTGGCATGCCAGTTCAGGTCTTTTCATATGCAGATCCCCTCCCCAAGCACCCACCCTTGAAATTTGATCTTGCTGGGATACTTTTTATTTATTATTTTAATTCAAGTTGGTTGGGGCACGTGGGTGGTTCAGTAGGTTAAGCCTCTGACTTTGCCTCAAGTCATGTTCTCCCAGTTCGTGAGTTTGAGCCCTGTGTTGGGCTCTGTGCTGACAGCTCAGAGCCTGAAGCCTGCTTTGGATTCTTTGTCTCCCTCTCTCTGCCCCTCTCCCACTCGTTCATTCATTCTCTCTCTCTCTCTCAAAAATAAGCTTTAAAAAAAAATTCGGGGTGCCTCGCTCAGTCAGTTGGGTGTCCAGCTTCAGTTCAGGTGATGATCTCACAGTTCATGAGTTTGAGCCCTGCATCAGTCTCTGTGCTGAGCTCAGAGCCTGGAGCCTCCTTCGGATTCTGTATCTCCCTGTCTCTCTGCCCCTCTCGTACTCATGCAGTGTCTCTCTCTGTCTCAGAAGTAAACATTTTTCAACGTTTTTATTTATTTATTTATTTATTTTTTTGGGACAGAGAGAGACAGAGCATGAACGGGGGAGGGGCAGAGAGAGAGGGAGACACAGAATCGGAAACAGGCTCCAGGCTCTGAGCCATCAGCCCAGAGCCTGACGCGGGGCTCGAACTCATGGACCGCGAGATCGAGACCTGGCTGAAGTCGGACGCTTAACCGACTGCGCCACCCAGGCGCCCCAGAAGTAAACATTTTTAAAAAATTAAAAAGTTTTAGAAAGATATATACACTTCATTTTGCAGGGTGTTAGACTGGATATGTGTGTGTGTTGACTGGGCTGTATTTCTTTTTGAGAGAGAGAGAGAGAGCGCGCGCTTGCGCAAGTCGGGGAGGGGCAGAGAGAGAGAGGGAGACACACAATCCACAGCAGACTCCAGGTTCCGAGCTGTCAGCGCAGAGCCTGACACAGGGCTCAAACTCATGAACTACAAGATTTTGACCCGAGTGGCAAGTCAGATGTTTAATCAAATGAGCCACCCAGGCACCCCTGTAAGTCCTATTTTAATGATGAGAAGGCTGTTTTCATTTTGAATGAGAGCCACTGGTTATACTGATGATGATAGACAACACCGATACTCCTCTGGGTCATGTGGAGTCACCTGGAAGTGCTCCTTGAAGTGAACTGAGATAAGGTGTTGTCTACACTGCAAGCATATGACCTAGGGTGAAGAAAAGATTTCTGTCCTTTAGGTGTTAAAGGAAAATGACCCAGATTCTTTGCCTATTTAGAAGATAATAGAAATTAAATCAAAATGTAGAAGTTTACAAAATCAAGAAATGTTTGCCTCAAAGTAAGTAGAATTTACTATGTGGGATCGTGTTTTTAAATATCCTTGAAAATTAATTAAAATTTGGTGATTTTCTTCCTTAGGTATACCCAGAAAAATGATGGAAAGGATAAGGAACATGAATTACTTCTGGATCAGTCCCTCGAAATCAGGCAAATTAAGTTTATGTTTGCTTTTACTATTATCTTATACTTTTAATACCCAGAGGCACCAGCACACTAGGGTTCTAAGTCTATTGTGGCTTGTCTATTTCTTTTAAATAATTATGTCTCTTTTATTTGTTTCTATTTTATTCTTTAAATTAATGTTTAAATAAAATTATTCTTTGAGTGTTTTTATTTTATGATGTTCCTACTACTTTTATTTTACATTGTTAGTATAAAAATCCTCAACTTTATTCGGGGTGCCTGGGTGGCTCAGTCAGTTAGGTGTCCTACTTCAGCAGTTCATGGGTTCGAGCCTTGAGTCAGGCTCTGTACTGATGGCTCAGAGCCTGGAGCCTGCTTCGGATTCTGTGTCTCCTGCTCTCTGCCCCTCCCCCACTCATGCTCTGTGTCTCTCAAAAAATAAACAATTAAAAAAAATTTTTTTTTAATCCTGAGTTTATTATTGTTGATTAACTGTTCTTTTCCTTTGAAGTCTCCTGAAACTAAAAATGTGGATTTTTTTTTAAGATTTTATTTTTCAAGTTTATTTATTTATTTTGACAAGAGAACACACGTGCTCCTGAGTTGGGATGGGGGATAGGGAGAGGGGGAGAGAGAGAAAGAGAGAGAAAGTCCCAATAGGCTCCTCACTTTGCACTGAGCCCAACGTGGGGTTCAGTCTCATGGACAGCAAGATCATGACCTGAGCCAAAATCAAGGGTCAGATGCTTAACCAACTGAGCCACCCAGGCGCCCCTAAAAATGTGTTTTTAAAACTTTTCTTTTGTGTTACTTAACAATCTCAACTTTATTATGGTAGTTGTTCTACAATTTTAAGTTTATTAAAGAGGGCAGATTTTTATTATGAACCTATAAAAAGTTTTCTTTTAAGCTTTGTTAATGGGTATAATGTTTTTACCTACGGGTAGTCAGTATATTCATTAGTGAAGCAGTTGTGTTCTGCATTTTTCGTTGAATATTGTTTCACATAGACATTTCCATTCGCATCATGATTCATGGCCTTTTTGTTTTTTTTAAGCCCTTATACACATATTGCCGTGATTACTTTGTAGAGATCACTTTTTTCCTTTGGATGATTTCTTTGTCATATAATGTGTGTCAAAATAGAATTTCCTGACTGGAAGCATGAGGGATGTTCTGTAGCCAGATACGTTGTAGTCCACCTGCCCTGGTAAAAGTGATGAACCAGCTTCTCAGCATTTCCACCAAACACTCAATTTTTAAATTTTATATGTTCCTTTGATAATTTGTGAAATGCAAAAAGCACATATGAGTGAATCTGTGTGTCAGACACTAAGAAGTTTTGTGAGTCTCTCTGTGTCATGATTTCGAAGCTAACCTGGCTTAAGCCTTTAGTTATCTCACTGTTTTTTTCTTTTTCAAGAAGTTTTTTCTCATTAACATTTGCAGTGATACATTTACAAATGAGGAAATGAAAATAGGAGAGTGCATAAAGAAAGGGAAAGAGAATTATGAAGAGAGTCTTCAAAGAGCAGTGGCTGCAGAGGTGAGCCTGGGACACTTGGTGACGGACAGATGTGGCGAGATTGTTTGCTTTGTTTGTTTGCTTTGTTTGATTGTTTTTCATATGCCTACATATGAGGCATAACAACATTGCTGAAAAGTGTGGAGTCTGACGGATAGCCTCTCACCCAGAGTCCTACATCCCAGAAATAGCTACTTTTTTCCATGCATGTCACTTTTTAATGTTTTACCCTTGTGCTTACATGATATTACATAGCTGTACTCAAAGTGAACACCACATTTTGCAGTCTGCTTTCCTTATTTTTATAATTCAGTCGTTTTCCATGCTGTACCTTAGAATGGCTTCATCATCTGTAATCAAGTGGTGTGCCATGAAGTAGCCAACCATAATAGTCACTACTGGAAGAGGAACTTGAAAATAATCCACTCATTAAGAATATACTCTCAAAAAAA